CTCGGGAGTTAAAAATACACTTAGAGGCTCGGCCTCGGGTTGAGACCACCGGCAGGCGTGCCGGGTACCTGGCTGTGAAGTCTTCCCTAATTAGCTCATGGGATCCGACTTTAAGCCAAAACTGAGCTTTCTCTGGAGAGAATCCCAGCTTTCTTCCTAGGTTGGAATCAGGAAGAAGAGTGTGTTGCTCAAAGCTGTCCGGGTTAGTAAAAGAAACGGACAAACTTTGGTTCTGCCCTCAGGCTTAGAGATGAGTCAGAGAAAGAAAGATRAAGATTTGCCAGCCGGCGCCAGCCCAATGTTAAAATTCCGTGATTGTTCAACAACGTGATATGATAACCTCTTTCCAGCTTTCTTCTGATAGACTAAGAGAAATCACTGCAAAACATTTAAGATGATTAGTTAAATTTCTGTTTTATAATCAGTTCTGAACCATTCTGTTAGTCCAGATAAATGAAAGATTTTCTCAGGAAATATCCACAATTATATTACTGTGTTCACAGTAAAATAAAAACAGTGATTTACATAAAAACACAATGAAAACATTGTAATCAGATTCTCTGTGAATTTTTATACCATTATAAATCTTTAAGGCATGATAAAAGAAAAGAAGTCGTTCCACGTTTCCTGTGACAGGCATTATTATGATTTAACAAATGCATAAACATTCTTAGTTAAACAACAAATGAATCATAAACAGAAGAGATTGTTCTGTCCATTATCTGATTAAGAGAAATGAGGGGTTCTCTTCCACGGTTAGAATGACCTGTCATGGCCTAAAAAGAGTTCAGTTTGTGACAGAGTTCCTGTCCTCTCGTCAGGCCTGTCCGAGGCCTGCTTCGAGGCAGTAAATCTTGTTTCTTCACTCGAGGTGACCCCCTACACTTGTGATTATTTGACAGGAGTTTTACTTTCAAACTGTAAGTTTATTTTATTTAGTTATGTTAGTTATGATGTAAATACAATAAAAGTTAAACCAAGATTCAAAATAATTATTATTTTGATCCATACATTGGTAACGTCTGACTGGGCCTCGTGTCACTTTATGCAAAACAAATTGGGCCCCGAGGTAAAAAAAGTTTAAGAACCCCTGACCTAGACAATCATGTTATAATTCATCTCATATTTAATTTACTTATTTCTTTCCAGAAATAGGTGCACCTGGACCAGTTCTTCTGTGTTTGGCTGTGTCTCTTTCCCATGGATGTGCACAGGTAGACATCAGGTGGTGCTTGAGCACATGCCCTTTTCCCTCCGGACCATCAAGTGCCCCTGTTGAACCTGCCTTTTTTTTTACTGCTCCATCTGTTGGTTGCACTTCTTATTAAGTGTACAACTATAATAGTAATATTTTTAACATTATTAATAATAATATTGCCCTCACACCCTCCCTCACCACACGTGTGCGCCTGCAGCACTCTGTCGCTCAGTGAACGTGCTGCGCATTTGGACAGGAGGAGTGTTGCTGAAGCAGCTCCTCTCTCTCTTCTCCTCTAATCCACAACAGAGGACAGTTAACCAGCAGGTAATTTACACCCAGGCAAACTGTGCGGGACTGTCCCGCATTTTTCATTCTTGCCCCGACGTCCCGCAAATTGAAACAAAGTCCCACGTTTGATTGATTAAATTATGAAAAGTCAAAAAGAAGGGGAAACAATCGACAAACGTTGTTTAGTGGCTGCAATTTACAACCATTAGATAATATCTCCTTTTTTCTCTCTCTATGCCCTCTATGCAAATGGATGAGGAGAGAAGAGAGGAACGTGTAAAAGACACATTCTAGATAGTTTATCAGCTAAAAAAATTAAATTTGGGGTAAGTTCCTCTTTAATAGGGAGTTTTTTCCTCTCCACCGTTTGCTCAGGATGGGAGATTGCGATGAAGTGATTCAACACAATCTGCTGACTTCTTCTTTAGATTGCTCTTTTTTCATGTACAGTGCCCTGAAACAACTTATATTGTGACTTGGCGCTATATAAATAAACTGAATTTAATTGAAATTTTCCTGGAATAAAAATCCACATCTGTTGCAAACATTGCCTTTTCTATGAAACGTTGCAGGTGATTGAAATCATTAAATTTGTCATCAGTCTAGCAAAACGCTACATGCTACAAACAAACAGTACAGATCGTGCTTCCGGAACAGACTCGGCAGTGACAGTGACCCATGCTTTAAAACAAAAAGCCTTTATGTGTTTCTGCGTTTATTGACAGAAATGTATGTTTTGTAATGCAGATCTGCCTCACAAAGATTTTTTCAGAGACAAAATAAAAAGGCGTGTAAGGGCCACTT